TGTGGCAGGAAGAAACATGGTATCCAGAAGTTGCCCTGGCCGAGCCAATCTCCTGACATGAACCCCATCGAAAACCTCTGGGCCATACTTGACCGGCAAGTCAAGAAACAATAACAACAAAAAAACAACTTCGAAGAGCGATCTACTCCAAGTTTTTAAGCAAGAGTGGGCGAAAATCGCACAATCTAAGATTGACGAGATGATTCTCACGATGCCCCAAAGGATCAACGAACTCCACGAAGCGAAAGGAAGATCTACTAGATATTAATTAAATTATAAATATATCAATTCATGTGAATATGACTGAGAAAATTCATTTTTTCTGAAAAGGTGGTGTCTATTTACTTGTGACTACGCTATGTATATGTTCACAAATCCTCTAAATCTGTGTTTATATTCCGATGTTCTCGCCAGCTTGTGCCACCAAAACTTTCTTTTTGTTTTAGTATTCGGGATGAATTGCCAATTTCATAATCAGATAGAATGTACACTGTATTAAATCCTTATTAATTTTTACAGTATTCCATTTGAATCTTTTTCTAGTTAAGTATGATTTCATAAACCTGTCAACACATATAAAATCCACTGTAGTATCATTATTTACTCACGCTATTATAGATGAAGAATCTATTCGCATGTCCACGTTCGTTACCTTGTTGATTAAGTGATGATGATGATCATCGATTGAATTTTTAAAAGGCTTACTCTTCTATTTTAGTTTCTCGTTTTATGAGGTTTGATAATTTAAATGGAATGAAATATTGGACGTTTAAGCTATGAATGCCACATTTATAAAACAATAGGTGGCCCCATTTATGTGAATGGTGTGGGTAGGATTTTTGTTAAACCTTTTTCTCGTGATATGTTGCACTAAGAGAAATTATTTTTATAAGATATTGAAATTTATTACATCATTTCCTGGATAGTTCATAATTCAGAATAATCTAAAATTCGGATCCCTAGAGACCTCTAGGAGCTTAGAAAAATCCGTATTAAAAGAGTGCATAAAATGATGATAGCCTTAACACTGCTATAATGGTTTACGTACTGCGTTTGGATACTTCATCTCACCAGTTGATGAAAAACACTTTAGAAGAAAAAAAAGTTTTGTTTAAGATTTAAGTATTAGTTTCAATGAAATACTTGTATTTTAATTAAAGTATAGTTTGCATTAGTTAGTATAATTTTTCTTACAACATTTTCGTTAGAACAATGCCAAATTTATGGATTTATTACAGAGCTTATATGTTTATATAAATATATATCGTTTTAGTAATTGGTAATATTATCGGAGTTTTTAAAATTGTTACTGTACCGATAATATTTATTTGGGGGGAATAAGGAATTTCTTGAGATGAATGTTCTCTACAATTTATTATCTCATATACGCCCCCTGGTGGCACAGCGGTAAGTTTACGAACTTACAACACTAAAATTCGTATATAGCATTAACATTAATAGATTCTAGAAGAGGATGATTTTAATATCTTATATTTCTTAGTTAATGTTTATAGACCATATTATATATTTATCAGTATACATTAAGTAAAAAAAAAGAATATAAATTGCTCTAATATTCGACTACCAGTAATTCGGGGTTCGGTACTCGCAGAGAGTCCACTGTATAGCATTGCTCTGAAGTAAACCATATAGTTAATATATATATATATATATATAACTTTATTTTAATAATAATCAAGTTTGGTATTCCGCCTGTTAACAACTTACGTCACACTTGGTGACATGTTCTGAGACGCAGTTACAAAGTTTTCTCTTGTCTGTCAATAACAGTATTGTTCGTGTGAACAAATAGATTGAAGATATCAGCTGCATACTTTTTATTTTTTCTCAATGGCCTTTCCATAAATAGTTTTGCGTCATGCTAGTTGAACAATAAAGGTACAGAGTTATAGAATATCCTGAGACTTAAGTAGAGCATCACGACCTTATATTTATTTATGTGAATCTCAAAGAAGAAACGACAAAAAAGCTACGGTACTAGAAGGAACAATGCTTTGGAATTGAATTTTTACACAAAAACCCAAATTATAT